TTTAAACTACAGTACCACGCCATGAACTTTTTGGAACATGAGGAGTGTTAGCAGGTGTTAAATTTCCTACTTTTATATTTTCTAGAATTTTACTAGGTTTTGGTGTTTTTGCTTTTATATTAGAAATTTCTAATGCTTGTTGTGTTTTGACATCTTTTCCGGCTACCTCTTGACTCTGATTTATATCCATACCCTGTTGGCGGACGTGTACCACATCAACTTCCAACCCATGATTTCTATATCTCGCGAATTTACCAGGTTGAATATTATACTCTGTACCATTGATGTTAAGATTCATCGCACCTGGAACAGTGTGCTGTGTATTGTATGTAATACGGATATCAACACCCTCACTCTGATAATGAAAGTCTTTTCCTGGTTCTAGTTTAAATTCCCGTTTATTTATATGCATAAAGGAAGTATTATAAGTAATGGTGTTGTCACCATGAACAATTTGAGCAGCTACACTATGATCTTTATTCTCAGCTCTATAATCGTTAATCTCTTCTGGTAGCACATTCCTGAACATTCTTGTTACAATTTGAATCGCTCCTTGAATCACTTTACTGAACAACCCCTTACCTTCTTTTGGGCTTTCTTGAGATTCTGTTTTACCTAAATTCTTCAATAAATCCGGAGCTTTTGCTTGTTGTTTATCCATTACCTCTAGTTCTTTGTATACCATTTTTTCAAGAGCTTTTTTGTTTTGCTCAGTAACTTCTATTGTTTTATTGAGTATATCTATGTTGCTTAGTGCTTGTTGCAAATTTTTAGCACTAGCTTCTTTCCTACCTTCTATTTTGCTTTTATCTGTATTATTAGACAAATCCGTAGATTGTTGTTTATCCATTACCTCTAGTTCTTTGTATACCATTTTCTCAAGAGCTTCTTTGTTTTGCTTAGTAACTTCTATTGTTTCATTGAGTACATCTATGCTGCTTAGTACTTGTTGCAAGTTTTTAGCACTAGCTTCTTTCCTATCTTCTATTTCGCTTTTATCTGTATTATTAGACAAACCAAGAGCTTTTGCTCGTTTATCGGGTCCTTCTTGGTTTTTGTGTGCTGTTTCAGCAAAAGCATCTTTTACTTGAGCTTGGTTATCATTCCCTGCAGCATTATCTACTTTTTGAGCAACAGCTTTTGCAGAAGTATCATCCTTTTCTGGTTGCTCTTGTACTTGTTGTTCATTAGGTCTTGCTATATTTTGTTGTGCTGTGCTAGTAGCATTCCCATTATCTACTTCTGCAGCAACCATTTTTGTAGCAGTATTATCTTTTTCTGGTTGCTCTTTTGCCACAGAAGCATTCTCTCCTGAATTATTCAATAAATCCGAAATTTCTACTTGTGATTCATTTGTTTGCGTTTCAGCATCACTTGTTTTATTAGTTTGCTCGTTTAATGGAGAAATAACCTTTCCTGAATCATTCAATACACCCGCAGCTTTTGCTTTTTCATCGATTTTCGCTAGGTTTTCGCGGGCTTCTTTATCAAAAGCTGCTTTTTTTTCAGCAAGAGCTGCTTCCCTTCTTGCTATTTCCTGCTGCTTACCCGCAATGTCCTTGACTTGCGCTTCAAGTTTTTCTGCAGCTTGCGCTTTCAGCATATCATTTCCTGCCTTAAGGTAATTAGCTTTGTCCTCCAGCGAGAAATCTGCTGAAAATGGGCTAGGAGAATGTCTGAAAACTTTTTCAAATTTCTGCTCAAGATCTTTACCTGTTGTCATTTTATTACCTCAATATTAATAACTTAATTAAATTATTAAATAATTTAGTAAATAAAGGGTTAATTTAACAGGACTTTTTACACAAATATCTTTTTTATTCGCAGTCTGTTTGCAATTTTTAAATATGTTTCCTTTAAGTCACCCAACCCCAAACGAAAAACGTCTTTGTCCAATCTCTTACCAGTATTTTTATCCCACAACCTGCAGTTATCAGGACTAATCTCATCAGCTAGGATTATTTCTTCATTAACGTCTATCAATCTGCCAAACTCTAATTTAAAATCAACTAAATTTATATCTACACTTGAAAATAAGGCAGTTAAAAANTAAAAAAGGATAGAACCTTAACGCCCGAAAGGATTTTGAAGATTTTAGCAGATGTTACAGAACAGCCGATACAGCGACCAAAAGCAGCCGATACAGCGACCAAAAGACAGTAAAAAAAGTTACTCTGGCAAAAAGAAAACAACGACCATAAAAACCGAAATTATAATCGAAGAAAGTGGGCAAATCTTGTCGGTTTCAAAGTCGCATCGAGGTCGAATGCACGATTTTCGCATAAGAAAACAGGAGAAAATGCTGCCAAGAGATAGTATAAAACACGCTGATTCCGGCTATCAAGGATGGCAAAAAGTTCAAAGTAATGTAGTAATTCCATATAAAAGGTACCGGAAAAAACCACTAACGGAAGAGCAAAAGGAGCATAGTAGAAAGCTGGCGTCGTTCAGGATGCAAGTGGAAAATAAAATTCGAGAGATCAAAATTTTCAAAATTATATCAAATGTTTACCGCAATTTTCAGAAGAAATACAACATGAGATTCAATATTATTGCTGGTATTGTGAACCTAAGGCACGGTTTTTAATAGCTTTCGGGTTGGGGGTTCCTTACCGGATTTTATCAGCAACTCTCTTTATGTTGTTTCGCAGGGGGTCTANGAGCATAATAGAAAGCTGGCGTCGTTCAGGATGCGAGTGGAAAATAAGATACGAGAGATCAAGATTTTCAAAATTATATCAAATGTTTACCGCAATTTTCAGAAGAAATACAACATGAGATTCAACATTATTGCTGGTATTGTGAACCTAAAGCACGGGTTCTAACAGCTTTTGGGTTGGGGCCGGATTTTATCAGCAACTCTCTTTATGTTGTTTCGCAGGGGGTCTACTGCAATTGAGGAACATAGACGTAAGTTTCGACGCCAAAATTGCCATTAGAAATTGGTTTTACAAGAAGTCTAATTAATGCGTAGATCATAAGTAGCCATTTTTATAATAATAAAGTGTTGCTTTATAGAAATATCTTGTTACACTGACCTTGCGTGAGGCATTGTTAATATGGAATATTAAAGGAGGGTTACATGAGCTTGAATCATGAATTATTCAACGCTGTAAAAGTAAAAGAATATGATAAAGTAAAATCTCTTATAGATAGGGGTGCTAGTATTAGAGCTAAAGATAGTTATGGATATACTCCATTACACATTGCTGCTAGCTCTTCCGACGACTTAGATATGGTAAAGTACCTCATAGAAAGGGGTGCTGATGTTAACACTCAAGATAACGAAGGATATACTCCATTGCACATAGCTGCTCGTTCTTCTAATAACTTAGATATGGTAAAGTATCTCGTAAAAAATGGTGCTGATGTTCATGCTAAATGCAATGATGGGTATACACCATTGCATCTTGCTGCTCGATTTCGTTCTCCATATAGTACAATAAAGTATCTCGTAGAAAGTGGTGCTGATGTTAATGCTAAAGGTGATGATGGATATACTCCATTGCATCTTGCTGCTCGTTCCTTTGCCTTATGGAGGGTGGAATATCTCGTAGAAAATGGTGCTGATGTTCATGTTGAAGGTAATGATGGGAGTACTCCCTTACACATTGCTGTTAGTACTCCAGACAACATAAATATAGTAAGGTATCTCATAGAAAAAAAAGAGGCTGATATTAATGTTAAAAATAGTAACGGAGATACCCCATTGCACCTTGTTGCTCGGTCCTCTGACTTAGAGATGCTAAAATATCTCATAGAAAAGGGTGCTAATGTTAACGATAAAGATAATGATGGGTATACTCCATTACATTATGCTGCTCGTTCTTCCAACAACTTAGAGATGGTAAAGTATCTTGTAGAAAAAGGTGCTGATGTTAATGCAAGAGGTAATGATGGATATGTTCCCTTGCACTATGCTGCTCGTTCTTCTAATAACTTAGATATGATAGAGTATTTTGTAGAAAAAGGTGCTGATGTTCATGCTAAAGGTAATGATGGATACGTTCCCTTGCACTATGCTGCTCGCTCTTCTAGTGACTCGGATATGGTAAAGTATCTTGTAGCAAAAGGTGCTGATATTCATGCTAAAGGTAATGATGGGCGTACTCCCTTGCATATTGCTGCTAGTTTTTCTGACAACTTATATACAGTAATGTATCTCGTAGACAAAGGTGTTGGTGTTAATGCTAAGGACAACCATGGACATACTCCCTTGTATATTGCTGTTCGTTCTTCTGACTTATATATGGTGAAGTACCTTATTAAAAAAGGTGCCAATGTTAATACTAAAGATAATGAAGGAGATACTCCATTGCACATAGCTGCTCGTTCTGCTCACAACTTAGAGATGATAAAGTATCTCATAGAAAATGGTGCAGATGTTCGTGCTAAATGTAATGATGGGTATACTCCATTGCATTATGCTGTTCGTTCTGCCGATAACTTAGATACAATAAAGTGTCTCGTGAGAAGAGGTGCTGAGATTAATGCTAAGGATAATAGTGGACGTACTCCTTTGTACAGTGCTATTCATCTTGTAGGTACCTTGGATGTAATAAAGTACCTCATAGACAAGGGTGCTGATATTAATGTTAGAGATAATTATGGATATACCCCATTGCATAATGCTGCTAGTGCTTCTAATTTAGAAGGGGTAAAGTATCTCATAGAAGAAGGTGCTAATACTAATATTAATGCTAAGGGTAATAATGGATATACTCCTTTACACTTTGCTGCTCGTTCTGCCAACTTAAATATGGTAAAGTATCTTGTCGAAAAAGGTGCTGACATTCATGCTAAAAACAATCGAGACAAAACACCTCTGGATCTTGCTCAAGAGGAATGTCCAGATTGTAAAAGTATTATAGATTTTTTAAAAGGGAAGCGTGTACGTCGTGATGTTAAGTATTCACTCAGTGATCCTACTAATATTGCAAATGCATCAGACCATTTACTGACAGCATTGCCTATTAGTAATGCTAAAGAAACACTACTATTAGCTCATACTAAAAATAATACTACAACACTACAGTTTGATCTGCATAATATGACGTCATTATTTAATAGTATAACGTTATTATTAAATGTATTTGTAAGAAAGATATTTATAGGAAAGTTTATAAAGCAGAAATCTGTTCCTATTACAGTGATAGGTTTTCCTGAAGACAAACAAGAGTTAAGTTATACATTAAATGCTAGTGGTGGATTTGAAGAAGCGATAAAACATGCTGAAAAAGAGAGCGGTATAGCTGTGGATTTATCAAATATTAACTTTCTAGAAATGCATAAAGAAATTGCAGCTAAGGTTGCTAGTGGTAAACCTAGGCTCTGTGAACCAAAATTTGGAGAAATAAGAAAAAAGTGGTAGTTTAACCGTGAATAAATAAGGAGAAACTACCAAATGAAATATTACATACAAGAAACAAAATGGAAACAAATTTTTGCAAATTTGAAAAGCGTAAAAGGAATACACAGTAAAAACGAAGATCGGATAAGAAGGTTCATGGAATCAGTGTGGTACATGGCTCGAAGTGGTTGCCAATGGCGACTTTTACCAGAAATATATGGCAATTACAGAAGCGTACATAAGAGATTCAANCAGTTGTGGTGGCCGATAAGGGCTATGATAGTAATGCTTTTATTGTGGGTCTTGAGAATAAAGGGTGTGAGGTTGTTATTCCTCCGAAGCGTAACCGAAAAGTGCAGAGGTATTATGATGAGCATATTTATAAAGAACGTCATTTGATTGAATGCTTTTTCGGCAAAATAAAACATTTTAGGCGGATTTTTTCAAGATTTGATAAGACTGCCACGGTTTATTTAGGCTTTTTAAACTTCGTTGGGGCCCTCATATGGCTTGCTTAAAATTTTGGTTCACAGAGCCTAGTGAAGTTCTTAAGATTTTAATTTCATATGCAGAAGAAGCATGTACTACTAGGCAAATGAGTGAAGAGGAGTGTAAGGAGTTTATGAAGGCTTTTAATGCAAAGTTAAACATAGATTCTAATCAAACCCTACCTAATAGTCAATTGGAAGACGTTTCTCGTAGCAACCTCACTATATTTAATAAATTTATAGGGCTATAAGTTAACAAGCAGTTCCTACCGATTTTTTGTGTCGGTAGGCTACTTTCTCTTCTTAATAGATAAACTCGATTTTCAATGGCAATTTTATCATTTTGGAAAAAAAATAAGTTTTTGTAATAAAAAGGATTGATTTATAAAAATATGTTGTTACACTGCCTTGCGTGAGGCGTTGATAATTAAAAACGGAGGGTTAAATGAATAATTTAAATGATGAGTTATTTAGTGCTGTACAAGTAAAAGACTACGGTAAAGTTAAGAGCCTTGTAGAACAAGGTGCTAATGTTAAGGCTACAGATGATGATGGAAAAACCCCATTGCATTATGCTGCCAGTCTTTCCCTAGATATAGTAAAGTATCTTGTGGAAAAAGGTGCCGATATTAAGGCCAAAGATAATGATGAGATTACCCCATTGCACAATGCTGCTGGGTTTCACTTAGATGTAGTAAAGTATCTTGTAGAAAAAGGTGCTGATATTAATGCTAGGGATAATGATTATGGGTATACCCCATTGTACACTCCTGTTTTTGCTTCCGACTTAAATATGGTAAAGTATCTCGTAGAAAAAGGTGCTAATGTTAAGGTTACAGATAATTACGGGTATACCGTTTTGCACAATGCTGTTATTTCTGCCACCTTGGAGATGGTGAAGTATTTTGTCGAAAAAGGTGCTAATGTTAATGCTAAAGGTGGTGATGGAAATACTCCATTGCACAGTGCTGTTAGTGCTGTCAATCGTAAATTAGGAACGGTGCAGTATCTCGTAGAAAACGGTGCTAAGGTTAATATTAAAAACGGTCACAACAAAACTCCTTTGAACATTGCTCAAGAAAAGTGTCCAAAAAATTGTAAAGAAATTATAGATTTCCTAAAGGAGAAGAGCACTAATCCTGGAAGTCGTGGTATTAAGCAACTTGCTGAATCTATAAATTCAACAACTCCTTCTCAAGAACAGATTCGACAAAAGAGACAGGATGATGAGGAAATGATTAAAAAAATTCCTCATCAAGAACAGATTCGACAAAGGAGACAGGAAGTGTTTGTAGGTACAACAACTTCTTCTGATTTAATTCAAGAACAGATTCGACAAGAGAGAGATATTCTTAAAAATAATGTTGTTTCGCGTGTACTCACTACTGAATCTGCAAATTCAGCAACAATACCATCACTAGTACTTAATGCTGGACATAAAGAAGCACCGCAATTGGCTAATGGTCAAGGTGGTGAAATAATATCACAGGTTGATTTTAATAGTACATTGCCACTTAACAGCACATTACTATTATTCGATATGGTGACAAGAATGGTTACTGGGCAAAAACCTGTTTCTACTACACCAGTTGCAGACCTTACTCGAGATCAAAAAGTATTAATTCATGCATTGAATAATCATTCTGATTTTGATGATTACATGGCTGCTTTTCATCCTAATAGTCGTTTAGAAGATGTTTCTATTTCTAGTAGCAATATAACTCGAAGGCTATAAGTAAACAATTACAGGCCTACTGATTTTTTGTGTCGGTAGGCTACTTTCTCTCTTCTTAATAGACAAACTCGATTTGCAATTTGGAAAAAATAAATTTTTGTAATAAAAGGGGTTGATTTATAAAAATATGCTGCTAGACTGCTTCGCGTGAGG